GAGCAGGGAACTGGGAATGGGGCAGGGAACTGGAGCAAGGAACTGGGAATGGAGCAGGGAATGGAACAGGAAACTGGGAATGGGGCAAGGAACTGGGAATGGAGCAGGGAACTGGGAATGGAGCAGGGAACTGGGAATGGGGCAGGGAACTGGGAATGGAACAGGGAACTGGGAATGGAGCAGGGAACTGGGAATGGAACAGGGAACTGGGAATGGGGCAGGGAACTGGGAATGGAGCAGGGAACTGAGCACAGAATGTCTCCTCAGAGCTTTTCATCCAACCCTAAGAACAGCTGGTGTGCTGCTACAAGGGATTTGTGCTCCAGAGCTCAGCAGTGCCCAGCAGGATTTGGGATCTCAGTGGGAATTTGGGAACTGGACCAGTTCAGGTCAGTGTCCACTCTCCCAGCACAGAAGCCAAGTTGCTGTTTTGATTTTCTCCAGGCTGGAACACGGCTGGAATGGACACCCAAGGTTACGACAACACGGAAATGCTCACTCAGGAATGAAAAAGCCCAGCCAAGCAGAGGATTTCCAGAATTCCTGAATGTATCAGTGAGCAGCCTGGGCTCTGAGGGAGCCAGAAGTGGGGGGTGTGGAAGGGGACTGAGAGCTGGGCTCATCCCACAGCCCTGCCTGGCTCCCAGCAGCACCAGCGGGCTGGCTCAGCCCGGGGGAACCTCCACTAATTAATGCTCCAGCTGGGAAGAAGTTTGGGAATAAAGAGGGAGGCAAAGCAGGGAGGAAGAACCTGAAATAACAACGTGAAGACCACGCTCTCCTGATTCTCATTAATGCTATGCTTCCCTCGTGTCCATGAGTATTCTCATCAGAGGAAGGGGGAATTCTGAGCCTTTGAAGAGCTCAGCCTTCGTGTTCCAAGGGCTGGAAGCACATCCAGCAGGGATTCCCACACATGGGAAGCACAAATACCTGGGCTCTGCTTCACCCACGTGTGGCTCTGCAGCATCTGGGAATGCTGCAGCTCCCCGTGGAGGATTCCCTGGGTGTGACTCAAGAGGGACACAGCAGAAAGCTGGGAATGATGCTGGGAGTGGAAATCCCTCTGGGAAAAGTGGGATGGATTGCTGCTGCACTGATTTCCCAAATCCCCCATGGCTGGACACAGCATCCCGGGGCAGTGAACGTTCTTATTACCCACGGGGTAGTGACAGCTTCAACCCCGTGAAAATAAATCAGATAAACCAAACCACACAAGAATTCCTGGTTAAATCTGGGAGCTTGGATCAGAGCTGCTCTTCCACATCTCCATCCTCCTCCACGACAGACTGGCTGACACAGCCCAGCTCATAACCATTATAACATCTTTTCATGAAAAAGTCATTTTCACTTCTCAGAGGATTCCCAAAATCCCCTAAGTCCTCTGCAGCTCTTCCATGTGTCCCTGCTCCCAGAGGGAAAACTTCAGGGAGAGATTCCTACCTGGCAAATTTATGTTGACTCAACACAAGCACGTTGCCTCTGATTTCTGCTACGATCTTGCTCTTGTCCTCGGGCCGGCCGTGCTCCAGGACGTGCTGGATAACGTAATTCCCGTACTGATCCTGGGTGGGAGACAGCAGCAGACCGTCACAGAAGGTGGATAAATGGACTAGAAACATTCCCAGCAAACTGATTCCCAAAGTGCATTCAGAGTTAAAAGTTCAACTGAAGATTAATTCTAATATTTAATGTACAAATCAGCTCAATACTTTCTATTTCTGCAAAAATGCGCGTTCTAGGGTGGTACCAGGTGGTAAAATGATGCATTTCTGTAGAATTTGTAATATTTATAGAACTCAAAATGCTGTCCTTGCACAGGAAATGTCAATATTTGGCTTATTCCCAGTTTTTTCTGCTCTCTCCAGGTTCGAACCTACCCAATCCCACGTCCTGGAGGGCTGTGCCGCGGGTCTGGCCATGGCTCACTGTTCTCACCTTGGGAATTTTCAGACCTCAGGATATTTCTTTTCCAGTTCAGGGTACCATGGCCTGATGTCCACGCCCAACCTCCTCCCAGTTCCCAGTGAGCACACAGGACTCGGGAACTGGACCAGTTCCTGCCCCGCCACTGGAGTGGGAATTTGGGAACGGAGCAGGAGCGGCTTTGCTGCTTTATCCCCGAAAACCCGCATCAAAGCCTGGCCCAGCAGCTCCTCCCAAGGACTGCAGGGAGGAGGGAAGGCAGCCAGGAGCGGGGTGAGCACAGAAACCACTCTTCCCAAGAATTCCCATCACTTGGCACCTCCTTTTCCTTGGAGGAAGCAGCTCCCCCCCAGTGATGGAGCACCAGGACATGGAGGTGACAACAGCCCTGCACTTGTGCTCATTCCCAGCCCTGCTCCAGGTGGGAATGCACTCAGCAGTGACCATTCCTCCTGCTGTGCTCATTCCCAGCCCTGCTCCAGGTGGGCATGCACTCAGCAGTGCCAGCTCCTGCACTTGTGCTCGTTCCCAGCCCTGCTCCAGGTGGGAATGCACTCAGCAGTGACAGCTCCTGCCTGCTGTACCCATTCCCAGCCCTGCTCCAGGTGGGAATGCCCCCAGCAGTGACCTGGGGACGTCCCAGCCCCGTCCCCACTGACCTGCACCAGCTGCTCCGTGTGCTGGTGGAGCTCCTCCAGGATGGGCAGGGTCTGCTCGGGCAGGCAGTGCTCCAGGATCCTCTGGATCACCCGGCAGCCGTAGGGGTGCGTGGACAGAGCGAACACCTGGGGACAGGGGACGGCCAGCAAGGTGCCATCAGTCCTTGGCAAGCCCAGAAACCCTCCAGGATCCCTGCAGGGAATGCCAGCACCCAACACCCACCGACATCCCAGGCACAACCTGGGGAAGCCTCAGCTTTTCCAGCTGGGAAAAACAAATGGTAAAACCTCTCGATTCATAAAAAACAAACCCTGGAACAAGCAAGCATTGCTGGAAGCTCGGTTATTCTTCCCCAGTAATTCCAGCACATTGTTTGCCAGCACGGATTTTGAGCTATTTAAGAAATGCTATGAGCCAGAAAAGTTAAAAATGCCCAGCAAAGGATTTTTCTCAACTGTTTGGATTTGTTTAAATGCCTTAACAGTGCTTAGGAGAAGTGACAACAAAGAATCTTTCTCATTTCTAATGGATTAGCAGATCTGTGGGTGAGAACATGACACATTTTGTTATTGCTGCTCCATTTTCTGTCTGAAGCACCAAGTCCCGTTTGGTTGCTTTGATTTAACAACAGCAGCAAATCCAAGCACTGAAGTTTAAATCAACAGTCACACATTTTTAATAACTGGTGAGTAAACCCTGCAGGGAAACAGGGCTTAGAGTGCAATTAACTGCAGAAAAAAATCATCTGGAGGTGCTAAGTTTAATCTGCCATGTGAAGGTTCAGATAAAACTGGGACAACTGGTCAAGGAAATGTCAGTGCCATCAGCTGAGCTCCCAGAGATGTTTCTGCCTTCCCAAACTCCCAGTGGAAAATCCAAGCCTGAACTCTCATCAGGAACAAGCTTCCAGCCAGAATCCCGCTTGTTTTAACCCAACCAACCAAACCCCCACTTCCCCAGGACTCCCAGCTCCTGGTTCCTGCTGTAACAGCCTCTGCCTGTCCTCACATCCCTGGGGCAAATCCTCAAAACTTCAGAGTGCCCCTGCAAAAAGCCAATTAAATTGAGGCTGGGAACACCCAAAAAGCAGCACTTTTGTACCGGGAGCTGAGGCCAGACAAAACTGATACCCAGGACATCAATTCAGGAGAGGACAGCAATAAAAAAGCAAAAAATTAAGAGAATCAAGAACAATTGCCCACTTGTAGATGAAATTCCTGCTTTTTTCCCTGCTCTGAGGCCCTTGGGAATCAGCATTCAGCATTCCTCACCAGGATCATAATGACACTTTGCATCCCCCATTTTCCTCTCCCCTCAAAGAGAAACCAATCTCAAATGCACATTGTTCACGAATTCTTGGGGTTATCAGGGTCACCTGCCATTAAAAGGGGATCAGCTCTGGGCTCAGAACTTGCTGGGATTTTACAAAAGTGCTGAAAATTAAGGAATTGATGAAGCTCAGACTTGACTAAGGCACCTCAGCAGCACAAAGCTCTGCTCACTGGGAAGATGGATCAGGGAGAGCCTCGTTTTCCCTCATCACTCACAAATACTCAATATTCCAGGAGAACTGGCTCGGGCAAGGAGGTTTTGCTCTGAGAGATCTGCCCAGAAATGGCAACAGGGACGTGAGCAAGGAGTTTCTGGGCTGTCTCACGTGGCTGCATCGACCCTGCTGCAGAAGTTGATGATGATGATGAAGCTGAGAGTTGCCAATGAAGCCCCAGCCACCCTGGGGCTGTTCCAGGAGCTGGGCAGGAGCTCACCTGGCCCTTGAAGGCATCGATGATGAACTGCAGGGACTGAGGCTGCACACACTCGATGCACTTCTGCACCACGTGGTTCCCGTTCTGGTCCTTGACGCACTTGAGCACGTGCCCGTCCAGCTCCCGAACCATCTCGTTCTACGGGAGGACACAGAGCAAACAGAAAGCACCAGCAGCATCCCAGAGCTGCCACTGAGGGCTGCTCCAGTGGCCAGGAGATGAGCAAACCCTGCCCTGACACCCCCTTAGCAGCCTGGAGCTCCACTCCAAGCCAAACCATCCTGGGGTTGCAGGAAGATGGAGCTCATCCTCTTCCAAGAATCCAAACTGAAGAAATCCTAACTGAGCCACAGCTTTCCTGTGCACCCCCCGTTTTCCTCTCTGCTCCCCTCAAAGAGGAGCAGATCTAAAGTGCACAAAGTTCACGAACTCTTTGGGTATCAGGGTCACCTGTCACTAAAACAGGGCTCGGAACTTGCTGGGGTTTTACAGCCACGACTGATGTAACCCATGTGCAGGGTGGACACTTCACTCACAAACAGAAATGACATTCTGGGGCATTTTAATGCTCTGACAAGATCTGGGTGAGTTCAGTTTTATAACTGAATCAAAGCCAGGAATTTTGGGAGCACTGAGGACTCAGAAATGCCACTCTGGAGGAGACACTGAACCTTGGAGCAGCAGTGATGGAGCTCAGGCACCGCCCTGCTGACACACTTGGCTCAGGCTCAGCCCAAAGGAAAGGAGCGCTCCTAAAACCTCTTTCATATTTTTAATTTCATAACCTACATTGAGATTCCTGTTACAACCATCCCCAAGCCTTCCCAAGCCAGCCTGCCCAGCGTATTTTTCATCTCAATTCATTGCTGCTAAAGCCCTTGAGGATGTGCTTTATTAATGAGCTCTGAGTGGGGCTATCAGCCACATCCCTCCCAAGCCAGAACGAGGAGCTCCTCATCCATCTCCCTGCAGGAGTGTGGGATGTTGACCCACATTGCAATAACTCGCTGAATATTAAAGGCAAAACCCTTCAAAGGAATTAAAAATCTCTTCTAATTCACCCTCATTCTCAGTTTTCCCTACACAGAGAAGCAGCCCCATGGGCAGGGCAGGGGAACGAGGAGGTGACAATGACAAGCAAGGTGGCACGGACTCGTCACGCACAAGGAGCACCACAAACATGCCAGGAACCAAACCCAGGGAACACCAGGCACGGGAGGGACGGGAGGGGACGGCTCAGGAACGTCAAACATCAAGAAGAAAGTTAAAATTGAAACTTACAATTACCTGCTGGTCTGGGGGGATGAACTCCAGGGCCTTCTGGATCACCCTGCAGCCGTACATCTGCAGGGCCAGGGACAGCACGTGGCCACGGATGCGCTCTGCCAGTGCCAGCTTCTGCTCCAGGCTGCCAAACTGGGACAGGACAAAGTCACTGCAGGGACAAACCCCTCCCCTGGCCACTGCCACTGCCCTCCCACCCTGGGGACAGGATCAGCCCCGTGGCCAAGGGGCGCACTGGCACAGCCAGACCTGTTCTGTGCCTGCCTGGCACATCCCAAAGGGGCTGCAGGCAGCAGGGTGACCCTGCCAGGCCACCAGCCCTGGCCAGGGCAAAGCTCCAGGAGGGCTGGGCCAGCGCTCCCAGGGATGCACAGGCTGGGATCGCTGGGCAGGGCCCTCGTGGGTCCCTTCCAGCTCAGGACATTCTGTGATTCTGATTCTCAGTGACTGGGCAGAAGCACCGGGAGCACCTGGTGAAGGACCAGACCACACCAGGGACACAACACTTCTCCAGCAGCTGCTGTTACTGCACAAATCTCTCCCTGTTCCCAAATCGGGAGCACTGAGAGCTCAGCGCAGCACCCTGGACAAGTTTTGCTGGATCTGCATCTCACTGAATCCCACAGGGGTTTGGGCTGCAAGGGACCTCAGGGCTCAGCTCATCCCAACCCCTTCCACTTTCCAGGGGAAATTCACACCTCCTGCACACACATTTTGCTTCCCAAAGTGGGATGAATCTGAGTCCCACCCTCAGTCACCCCAGCAGGAAAAGATCCAGCAGCTTGTGGGGAGGAGATGGTGTCAGTGCTGACAGTGACCCACGATTTTAGCCTCAGGGCAGGGTTTTCCAGACTTATCCAACACCTCAGGCCAGCAGGAACCCCAGGAAAACCTGCAGGGGAGGGCAGACTCACCTCAAAGAACTTTTGGATGACGTAATTGCCGAAGACATCCACCATGAGCTGATAGGCTGCCTGCAGGATCTCGTTGAACACCAGCTGACGCTCTGCCGGGGTGGCACGCTCCAGTTTCAGCTGAATAAACCTGAAAAGCAGCCCTGGAGTGATGCCACGGCTGCCCACGGTCATTCACCCCCTCCCAAAGCCTCACCCAGTGTTCCAGAAACCACCACCACCACCAATCCCGTTATGCTGGGGAGATGAAGCACTTCCATTAACCTCAGAGTCCCGTTACAAGTTCAATATCCAAATTTAAGACATTTGACTGACCCACATCTTGCAGATCTGTGCAAACACAGATGTTTTATCCGGCCATCCCATCGGGGTGGCCACATGTTGCAATCTTCATCTCAAGAGAAGCAAATCTCAACGAACAACACAGCGAATCTTGGATTTTAAACTGAATTAAGCTGTGCCAGGGGGATGAGTGAGCAAAGCACAGAGCAGGGAAGCTCCTCTTGGAGGAGAGCTCCTGGAGCAGCCTTGGGCAGCGCTCTCAGGGTGGGACTGTTGGGGTGTCTGGGCAGGGCAGGAATTGGAATCCTTGGGGATTCCAGGTGTGACGCTGGATTGACTTTTCCTGCTTGTTCCCTGGTCTGCCTCAGCTCCGGGAAGCGCCACAAAACACAAGTGTGAAACTCAGCTGTGAAACTCAACCACAAAATGCAACTGCAAAAAACCCACAGCTGCAAAACATACAGCTGCAAAAACTCACAGCTGCAAAATCCAGAGCTGCACAACACATAGTGACAGAACACCAGAGCTGCAAAAAAACCCCACACAGCTGCAAAAACCACAGCTGCAAAAAACACAGCTGCACAGAGCAGAGGTGCAGAAAGCAGAGCTGCAGAGAGCAGAGGTGCAGGAAACAGAGCTGCAGGAAGCAGAGGTGCAGGAAGCAGAACTGCAGGAAGCAGAGGTGCAGAGAGCAGAGGTGCAGAGAGCAGAGGTGCAGGAAACAGCTGCAGGAAGCAGAGCTGCAGGAAGCAGAGCTGCAGAAAGCAGAGCTGCAGGAAACAGCTGCAGGAAGCAGAACTGCAGAGAGCAGAGGTGCAGAGAGCAGAGGTGCAGAGAGCAGAGGTGCAGAGAGCAGAGCTGCAGAGAGCAGAGCTGCAGGAAGCAGAACTGCAGGAAGCAGAGCTGTAGTAGGAAGCAGAACTGCAGGGAGCAGAGGTGCAGAGAGCAGAGGTGCAGAGAGCAGAGCTGCAGGAAGCAGAACTGCAGGAAGCAGAACTGCAGGAAGCAGAACTGCAGAGAGCAGAGCTGCAGAGAGCAGAGCTGCAGAGAGCAGAGCTGCAGGAAGCAGAACTGCAGGAAGCAGAACTGCAGGAAGCAGAACTGCAGAGAGCAGAGCTGCAGAGAGCAGAGCTGCAGAGAGCAGAGCTGCAGGAAGCAGAACTGCAGGAAGCAGAACTGCAGGAAGCAGAACTGCAGGAAGCAGAACTGCAGGAAGCAGAACTGCAGAGAGCAGAGCCATGCCCACCTGGATCCGTGCTGGTCCTGCGAGAACTCCATGATGTGGCCGGCGATCTCGCGCAGCTGCAGGTTGGGGTAGCGGTTGTTGCGGAAGTCCTCGAGCAGGCGGCTGCGGCCCGAGGGCATGACGTCCGACATGCCGTAGCGCAGGCGGGACGACGGGAACAGCGTGCTGCTGGGGCTGAACAGGCTCGACGCGCTGCTCGCGCTGCGGTACTTGGCCTCCGCGCCCGGCGCCGCTGAGATGTAACGGCCACTGCCGTTCGTCAGCCCCCCTGAGACACAACGGGACACGGGTGGGAACGGGAACAGGGAATGAACAGGGAATGAACAGGGAATGGAACAGGGAACAGGGAACGGGACAGGGAACAGGGAATGGGAACAGGGAATGAACAAGGAACAGGGAATGGAACAGGGAACAGGGAATGAACAGGGAATGAACAGGGAACAGGGAATGAACAGGGAATGAACAGGGAATGGAACAGGGAACAGGGAACGGGACAGGGAACAGGGAACGGGACAGGGAACGGGACAGGGAATGAACAGGGAATGGAACAGGGAATGGAACAGGGAACAGGGAATGGAACAGGGAATGGAACAGGGAACAGGGAATGAACAGGGAATGAACAGGGAACAGGGAATGGAACAGAGAATGAACAGGGAACAGGGAATGAACAGGGAATGGAACAGGGAACGGGACAGGGAACAGGGAATGGAACAGGGAACAGGGAATGGAACAGGGAACAGGGAATGGGACAGGGAATGGATTGGAACAGGGAATGGATGGGAACAGGGAATGGATGGGTGTAGTGCTTTTAAAGCACAAGCTAAAAAAATGCCAATCTATCACATTGGTCCTTGTGGGACAAGAGAACAAGGGATGGATGGGAACAGGGCAGGGATGGGACAGGGAACAGGGCATGGATGGGGACAGGGCATGGATGGGACAGGGAACAGGGCATGGATGGGAACAGGGCATGGATGGACCTCATGGGACAAGAGAACAGGGCATGGATGGGGACAAGGGAACAGGGCATGGCCTCTCCCCTGGCTGCAGTGGCTGCAGTTGCGGCTCAGCACGTGGCAGAGGGTTTGATTTCTGCCTTTCCTGCAGGGCTCGGGATCCCTCTGCTGGTGCAGGAGGAGCCTGCACGGATTTTCCTGGCTGGAAGTCCTTCCCAGGGAACACAGCCCGATCCCACAGGGACCTGCAGGGCAGGGGGAACCCCAGGGAAATGAGGCTGCAGGAATGTGAGCCACATTCCCTGGCAGTGCCCCAGGCCAGGCTGGATGGGGCTGGAGCAGCCTGGGGCAGTGGCAGTGTCCCTGCCATGGCATCCCCATGGGATGGGATTTGAGATCTCTCCCACTCCAAACCATTCCACTGCTCAGACTCATTTCTCCAGCTCTCCTGGAGCCCTCTCTGCCCCATCAGAACTGATTTTATAACCACAGGAAGCCAGACCTCCCCTCCCACTGCCCTCCACTACCACTGAAAGAGAAACTTTAAAAAATAAAGTGACTTTTGATGGATTTCGAGGTCAAACCCCCCAACATCAGAGCTATCCCAGGTGTGATCTGAGCCACAGCATCACCCAGCACGGAGGGAACGAGGACAGGAGGATTTTGGGAAGATGGGAAGCCCCACACTGATCCTCTGGAGCGTAACCCATTTCTGGGAGTGCTAATTTCAATTTCTTTCCAAAGTCTATTCCCAAACAGATCCATCCTCCTCTGATCCAGAAGAATTCTTAAGATTCTTTGATTCCAAATAAATTTTTACGATTTTTTTTTTTTTTTCCTGCAGGGGCAACCAACTTTTTCCTACTGCCAGGTCTGGGATCTGTGTCCTCCTCAGGAATAATTTATTGTGGCCATTTAACTGTCAGCCAAGGCCTCCACAGCTGCATAAATAAAGTTAAAATCCTTCCAGTTCTATTAAAGCTCTGAACAAGGCACGATGGTAAATCTAAACCTGATCTCCAAAAATCATATTTATGGCTATTCCAGCTAAGCTAGAGGCAGCACTGGATTTATCACACATGCATGGAATAAACATGATAAATACGGTGTCTGCTGAGGGCGGAGAAGCAGAAGTTTTGTTAAGCCCAGCAGATTCACGACACGACCAAAACCAAGTGGATTTTTGGAGGAAATATTAAATTACCTGCTGCAGGTGCAACAAATAATCTCTTTGGTTTGTTTATGAGGGAATGAACACTGCAGGAGGTTCAGATGAGCGCTGCTTCATTATTTAATATTTGCATTATTTCTTTTCCAGATTTATTTTATTGTGGGCTGGGCAGCAGCTCTTTGAGAAGATTCAGCTGCAGAAAGTCATGGATCTTCCCAAAATTATTCCTCCTGTGCTTTTGATAAGGCCACAGTGATGGGAAATTTTCCAAGGTAAACTCACCAAATCCTCAGCTCGAAGCTGAGCACAGCTCCAGGGAACATGGGTTAAAAGGAGGAATTGTATTCCAAGCTCATTATTCCCAATTTAACGGGTATTTTAAAGCATCCCCTTTAAAACCATTTAAATTGAAGATCAACCCTCCTTATCCCTTTTATTCCACAAACCACTGCTGCTGTTATCAAACCTGTGTGAGAAAATCCTGGTTTTTAACCACTTGGGAAGATCTTCCCTAATTCTGAGCTGAGGGAACAGGAGGAGAGGCAGAAACCGTTCCCAGGCAGGACAAACGCAGCAGCAGGGCTGGACACAAGGTAAAAATGGTTTTCCACAGAAATGGCAGCGTGATCCCACACAATTCCGGAGGGGAGGGGAGGGGAGG